GACTATTGGTTTATATTAAAAAAAAGTCCAGGGGTAGGTTAGCTTCAGGCATAGGTGGATGGGGGTGGAGGATTGCTCATGTAGTATAGTCTTGGCTCTGTCTCAATTCTTAGTAGGCTCTCTCAATGTGGTAAGCAAGATAGCTTCTTTCAATCCCAGACTTAACAAATTTAGTAATCCCAGTGGACTGAGTCTTTCTTAGTAACCCTGGCAGAAGAGTCCTCTGGAGGAATATCACTGATACCTTTGGAAAATTTGCCCATTATTGAATCAGTTATGATCAAAACATGGTTTACTTTTTCTTTTTCTTCCCTTTTTTTGTTAATTCTCACCCGAGGATATTTTTCCATTGATTTTTAGAGAAAGTGGAAGGGAGGGGAGAGACAGAGAGAGAGACACATAGATGTGAGAGAGACACACATTGATTGGTTGCCTCCTGCACGACTGGGCGTGGGGATCAAGCCTACAGCCGAGGTACCGACCCTTGACTGGAATCCAACCCGGATTCTGAAGCCTGATGCTCTATCCACTGAACCAAACCAACCAGGGCAAAACATAGTTTACTCTTGTGTTACCTGCATATTTCTATGGGAGATGGAAGTCAGTTCCATATATATACACATACTACATTATCTTTATTTCATCCTTTCATTGTTTGTAAAATTATCACACATCTCTTATCTAAGAGCTAAGGTGCTATTCATATCAAATAATTTTAAGGGTTTGTTGATCATCTCAGTTTTGGAAATGTTAAGATGCATATGAAACATACCAAGAGGAGATGTTGAGTAAGTCACTGCTATGAGGCCAGTTCAGGAAAGAGGTATGAGTTGAACATACAAAGTTGGGAACTCTCACCATAAAGACAGCGTTTAAGCCATTAGGTTGGATGAAATCACCAAGGGAGTGATTGTAAATGTAAAGGAGAAGTCTAAGAACTGGACCTGTAGATTTCAATGTTTAGAGTTCAAGAAGATGAGAATGAGTGCCCTAACAGCTACAAAGAAAACCACTTTAAGGAAAGTGAAGAAAGCTTTTTAAGGAGAGGATTAACTTTCACATGCTGCTTATAGGCCAAATAAGGTAGATTGGGTGATGTGAAGGTCATTGGTGTTGATAAGGATGGTTCTGATCAGTCTTGAACAGAGTGGTTTTGGTGGAATAGTGAGTGCAAAAACCCAATTAGAATGAGTATAAGAATGGGAGTGGAGGGAATGGGTGGTAGCCTGAGTAGAAAGTGTTATTGTGGTTATATTGTTGTTTGTTTTGCATTGTTAATCCTCACCCAAGGACATTTTCCCATTGATGTTTAGAGAGTGGAAGGAAAGGAGAGAGACAGACACATCGATTGGTTGCCATCCACAGGAGCCCCAACCAGAGCCAGGGATCCAACCTGCAACTAGGAATGTGCCCTTAACAGGGAATTGAACCCTCAATCCTTTGGTGTGTGGGCCGACACTAACCACTTTGCTACATTGGCCAGGGCATGGGGTTTTGATGTTGTTTTTTAAAGAATGATGAAAGAGTAGCATGTTTGTGTGCAAATAGAAATAATCTTCAGGGAAAAATAAAAAATAGTGGAAAGAGGGGAGACAGTTGCTGAATTCTTGAGAATGGATGGGACATGTGAAAAAGCCTCAGTAAGGATAGTATATCCTCAAAACTAGGAGAGAAGGTAGAGTATATGAGCACACAGAGATGTAGATGGGTATGTAGATATGGTGATAGACTGAAAACTCTTTCTGGATTGCTTCTGTTTAGTGAAATAATTAAGGTCATCAGAGGGTGGAAAATATGTTGCCTTTGAAGTCAAATCAGAAGGTATAAGATATTTTCTTGAGAGTGGGACAGTGAACAGACTAAGAAAATATAATTGCCAAACAGAACTAAGGGTCCAATTTAGGCTAGTGATCATGATTTAAAGAGACCTGTTAGTGTAGTTGCTTTCTTGAACTATGACCATCTTCAGGATTGTAGGCAGGATAGCTAGAGTTGTATTTTCCAGGGTTGAGATTAGGCAAACAAGTGTGACAAGAGCAAGATATAGATGGAAAGGAGTAATTATGATTGACCACAGAATTTACACTGGGAAAGAGGAATGTGAGGACATGGGAATAGAGGACAATGAAAAGTAGGTAGGATAAATAGATTTTAGGTCTTGATAGAGATTACTGAGCTTTAATACTACAAAGAGTGAGCTAGAACAGTAAAGAGAAATGGCTGAACAAAGGGATATATGGAGAAACAGTATGAGTAATGGTTAGAGTCTAGAAACATAACTGTTTGGAATCACATTCTGGTTTGACCAAATGCTAACTGTGAACTATGGAAAATTATTTTTCTTTTTTCCTCAGTTTCCTCATTTATGAATGGGGGAATAATAAGAATACCTATCTCATAGAGTTGCTTGGAGGATTAAATTTATATATAACTAGAGGCCTGTTGCAGGAAGATTCCTGCAAGAATAGGGCTTCCTCGGGCCTATTCCTGCAAGAATAGGGCTTCCTGAGACCGGAGCGAAGCAGAGAAGGGAGCGAAGCCCACCGAGGCAGGCTTCGCTCCCTTCTCCACTGCCTCGCTCCCTCCCTTCACTGCTTCGCACTCGGCTCCCTCCCTTCCCCGCTGCCTCAGCTCCCTCCCGTGTCCTCTGCTTCACCCCCTTCCCGTGTCCGCCGCCTCCCTCCCTTCTCCGCCACTTCGCTCCTTCCTGTGTCTGCTGCCTCAGCCCCGCTCCCGTCTCTGCTACCTCCGATCCGTTCCCTTCTGCAGTGCTTGGCTTCCTTCTACACTGTCTTCAGTCTTCACAGGGTGCCTGTGTATGCAAATTAACCGCCATCTTTGTTGGGTTAATTTGAACTCTTCTGATTGGCTGGTGGGCATAGCGAAGGTATGGTCAATTAGCACCTTTGTCTTTTATTAGTGTAGACTAGAGACCTGTTGCACGAAAAGATTCGTGCAATAGGCCTTTCCTTCCCCTGGCTGCCGGCACCGGTTTTCCTACGGCACCGGTTTTCCTCCAGCACCCGGGACCCAGGCTTTCGCTCTGGCCGGAGCCGCCTTCAGTCTTCCATCTTCGCTGCTCCGGCCAGAGCCGCCTTCAGTCTTCGCTCCGCCTCTTCGTGCCTACATATGCAAATTAACCGCCATCTTTTTTGGCGGTTAATTTGCATATCTCGCTGATTAGCCAATGGGAGGCGTAGCAAAGGTATGGTCAGTTACCGTGTTTGTCTATTATTAGATAGGATAAGTTTATTTAAAAGAGTTCAGAGTAGTATGCTATTATTCATACTATAAACAGGTTATTAGTTATTGGTAATGACAGAATCTAGGGTATAAGTATGTAAGGGAATGACTAAAGTAGGATAGAAACTAGGCCAAGGAACTGAAAGACCAGCATTATCAGAAGGATTATCTGTGTTAATGTTGAAAGGACCAAGAATTAAGATATATTGAGTATTGTTAAGATTTCCTATTCAGTGACTGGTAGGATTATTATATTGTACTAGAGGCCTGGTGCATGAAATTTGTGCACGGGGGGGGGGGGGTCCCCCACCCCAGCCTGCACCCTCTCCAATCTGGGACCCCTCGGGGGATGTCCGACTGCTGGTTTAGGCCTGATCCCTGTCCGGCAGTCGGACATCCCTCTCGCAATATGGGACCGCTGGCTGCAAACCGCTTGCCTGCCTGCCTGATCACCCCTAACCACCTCTACCTGCTGGCCTGATACCCCTAACTGCTCCCCTGCTGGCCTGACCGCTCCTAACTGCCCTACCCCGCCACCCTGATTGCCCCTAACTGCCCTCCCCTGCCAGCCTGATTGCCCCTAACTGCCTTCCCCTGCTGGCCTGATCGCCCCTAACCACCTCTGCCTTGGCCCCTGCCACCGTGGCTTCATCCAGAAGACATCCAGGCTAATTAGCATATTACCCTTTTATTAGTATAGATATTCATGGTGAAGACAGATTTTCTCTAATTTTGTTATAATAGCTGTTAAAACAAATATCTAAAAGTATTGACTTTAAAACTATTCCCTTTAAACTTATTTTTTTTTTTTGCTACACTTAAAAGTTTACTCAAATTATCACATGATTTTTTTCTTTTACATTTGCAGAATTTATTTCAACAGCAACAACAGTTTTTTCAACAATCTAGACTTGGTCAGAGCCAGAGACTGAAAACAATTAAACAGTTATATGAACAATTCATAAAGGTCTGTTGTATTTGGTAACATAGCATATTCTTATAAAGCAATTTATGTTGGAAGTAGAATATAATTTTTTTCTAAGTTTAAGGAAAAACATTTTGCTTATGCATTTAAAATTCTTAACTATTCATTTTAAATTCATTGTTTTTTATTTAAGTACTAAATATATTCTACTTTCAGATTCTAATGTTTTTGTGGCCATTATTCAAAATAGAAAATGGTAAATTGGGAATTTTACCAACAAATATATATATTGTGCATAAGATTTGTACATAATATAAGCACTGTGATAGTTCTCGGTTCAACTGAAAATAGAAAGTTCATAAATCATTTCTTGGTAGATTTCCAGTCTTTTTTTTTTCTTTTTAGTATATTCAATATTGAAACCTTAACAGTTCATTAACCCACTGTTTCAAGCACAGTGCACTACAGTTGTTACCTCCTGTAATACTATTTGATTCATGTCTGGCACCTTTTAATCCTAGTGGGCATTCTGGTTTTGATGGATTACTTAGAATATTTTTATTAAGAATAAATAATGTACACTACTTGAATTTTTTAAGTTCCTACTTTTGAAAATTAATTGCACAAGTTTAGAACCTGAGATTAAAAATGGTGATTTATAACTAAACTAGTTTTTTGTGTTTTAGAGTATGGAGGACTTGGAGAAGAATAGTGATACTCTAGTTACTGATGCACAAAATGAACTTAAAAATGAAATGGCTATGTTTCAAAAACAAATTATGATGGATACTGTAAGTTATGATATTAAAACTGAAAAGTAAGGATTAATATGTTTTAAGCATTGAAATATTTTATTTGTTGAAATATGGTTAACACTTATCTAAAAATTAAACAAATGTTTAATATCTCCTTTCATGAACAGCAGCAGCAGGAGATGGCAATTGTTCGAAAGTCTCTTCAATCCATGTTATTCTGATGACTCTTTGAAGGGAGAACTTGAACCTAAGTAATATGATACAACGATAACATTAGCTAAGAGGCATATACATTTTTAGAGTGGTTTAAAAATTGTATTTTCAAATATTACATTGTGTTACTCATTAGCTTAAGTGCAAGCCTCTTCTTTGTTAACCTCCAAATAAAATCTAAACAGTAATGTGAGTAGCAGCAATTCCTAAATTGTATGTATAAGCTTTCTGCCTTTTAATAGTAATAGTGAATTTTTCTGACACTTGTCAATTAACTTAATAATAAAGATGATCTAATTTCAAGTTTTGGCTTCAGTGTATCTGTATCAGTCCCCAAAAGTAGAAAGCATAAGTATTGTAGGTTACATTGTTATTCTTTAAGAAAAAAAAATCTATTTTTATATGTACATCCTTTTGTATAAAGTCGTTAAGTTACATAGCCAATTCTAATGATAAGATTTCAAAAGAAAATCTGTTGACTTATAAAATGTATTAAAAGCAACTTAAATTTGTGTTGTGGAATAAAACCACTAAAAACCATTAAGATGATTGAACAAGATATAAATACAGATTTTAAAATACAGATTTGTGAATGTCATTTCCACAAAGACAATAAAATGCCATTTAATTGAGCTTGGTCTAAAATTAAATGGCACATACTTGTAGTACTGATTAAATATATGGAAGTATGATTTTACATTCATTTCCAAACTTGAACAGTTAATTCATATACCTTGTCTTTTAAAATGTGTATTTTAAAAACAAAATATATGAAACACTTGATTTAATAAAGAAATTGTTCCACCATTTGTCTTAAGTATCAGCTAAACTTACTATTTTTTTGCTCAAACTGCTTTCATTGACTCATTCAAAACAAAAAATATCCCCCCCCCCAAACATGCCCATTAGAAGTGATTTTCTCCTGTTTTTCCGTGTTTTAAATTCTAATCCTCCCCCACCCCATAACCCACTCTTAAATTACTTTTAAGGTTTTCAAAGTTTTAAAAACAAATCCATGGGAATTCTCTTTTTCTGTGATAACTTAAATAGGAAGAAATTAGTCCACTATTAAGAATAGTCTACCTGACATTAGGGGGACGATTTGCTTCCTAAATTTTTACATTTTGTAGAGGAGTTCCCTTGTAAGCCAAAATATATTTTGGAATATAAATCTTAGGTACTATTAAAATGCCTAAGAAGGTCCTTATTTGAGTTTACCAAGTGTTACAGAGACAAAATAAGTACACTGGAGTGTTTTCTGTGTCCTTAATTCACGTAAGTATATAGTTTTTCCTTTTAAGGAATATCAACTTCCACTTTTTTCATTGTCTTTTTCTTGCTTAAGATATAGTACCTGTTCATTACTCCTTTATTTTTTTTATTTTATCATATGGCTTATGGTCTACAGAACTGTGGGATAAAATTAAAAGTAGGATAAGAGGGGAGGGAGTCTGAGGATTTGGATCACCAAAGAGCCTGGTGATAGTTCTATTATTCATAATGAACACTATAAAATACTTCGAAATGAGAGTAGAAAGATAAGAATCAGTACATCGTGCACTTAGTGGTTGAGTAACTGATACTTATTTTATCCCCTTTTTACCTCAAATGAAATGTGTAGTTGTAGTAACTTTGGCTAGTATTCTAAAGGGAAGATATTTTTGCCATGTTTTCATAAATTACTAATTTTCTTACGTCAACTGTATTTTAAGTACTGTTTTACTTTTCATAAAAGGATGTTTAATGCCCATCTTTTTGTGACAATGAAATTTTAACTCAGAATATCAAGAAACAAGTTGCCCTCACTATAAAGATTCATTTGTTTTTCTGAACTAATAAGACAAATAGCTTTTACTTAATACAAATTATAGTAAATTCCAATAGCCCTTTTAAATTCTAGTTGGTATACTAAAGCATGTATTTCATTTTATATGATAGTGATTAACATGCCTCTTTTGAAAATGACTAATAAAAAAATCATAAATCATTCTCAATAAATACAGTATTATAATCCATGTACTTATGCAGTATTATGAATACATCAATTTTTAGCAAAGTAGCATCATCCTCAACATGGCTAAAATCCTTTCAGTTCTGAATTTTTATGTAATCATTTGGCAATGAAAATCCTGGGTATAAGAATTTCTGAGACAGATACTGCTATTTAGAACTATAGTGGTTCACTTTCTTGTACCTAGAAAATTTAAATTTCTTTCTTTAGTTTTATTTCTAATTTATAGATTTGTATTACTCTGGTAATCTGTTATAAAAAATGTTGATACACAATGAGGACTTCACAACTGAAATAGACACAATGGAATTTACAGGACTTAATGTTTTATATTCAAATATAACCTTATTTGATAGTATACTAGCCTCCTGCAAAAGGGGATTTCCTTCACTCCTAGGTTCCCCTAACTGCTTCTCCTTTTTTCCTTGGGTTATTAGTCAATATGCTTGTGAACCTGTTCAGGTGCTGGATGACATGAAATCTTGAAGATATTTAGATGAAGGTGTCTTGAAATTTGCAGGCACAAAGCACTAAAGTACATAATCATATCAAATGAAGAAATGACCTTTAGAGCAAAAAAAGAAAATATAAGATAAATTATGGTCTATCCCTCTTGAAGCAGCAGCTATTTTTCTGCCTGCCCTCCCTCCCCAATCTCAAAATTAACTGAAAATTCAACAAAAATGCATTTTAGAGTATTTCAATATATTTCATATTTGAACCTCATATAGTCCTCTGGAACATGCAAGGTATTTCACAGTTATAGAATCTGAGGCACAGTGGTAAAAGCCTAGACTAAAACATAAAAGCTGGAAAGTAATAGAATGGAAGTCTTCACATTCTTTCAATTATCTGCTGTGCTACAAATTTCTACTAGAAGGGGCTATCAGTTATAACAAAATCATTCCATCATAGAGGTTTCTTACTCCTTTAAGATTAGCTGTAAGAAAGTAAAGGCCTATGGAAGTGAGGTAGATGTCCCTTGTGGACCAAGGGGGACAAAAAGGCCTGGAAAAGATCCTATAGTTAAGGGGAGGCATATACAAAATTGTGTTGTATAAAAATTGAGGAAAGCACACTATTTAAAAACTTTCCCAGAGACCAGAGGCAGATGCTTCCTTTCAGAAATAGGAGCCTCACAACTCTGTTGGTAGAGAGGGAATTCTCACCCATGAGAGGTAAATCCCCCCATCATTTACTTGAAATGCTCTGTGTGATCCTTTTCTCTCTGAAGCAAGAACCTTCCCCCTAAGGATGCCAAAGGGCACAAGTGTTTTGAATTTGACTTCCTCACCAAAATCACCATCAGTGTAAACCAGGCCAACTCACTCATTACAAAATAGGTACTTAAGTTTTTAACCTGATATTTTAATCATGTTAAACAATTCCACTTGGTAATATTTAAGTTCACTAAAAGAAACCCTACATTGAATTTTCAGATATTTTGAATAACCATCCAGTTCTTAAATGTATACTGTTTTGGAGCTCTAAAAGTATTTAAAGTGGACAGTAAATTAAAGGAAATTATTCTGATCTCACCACCATTTGAAGAATGGAAAACCTTTGAATGGACCACGGATGGATATTATTAATTTACTCCAGAACCTAGTATAAAGGATATCAGATGTGGTACCCCACACAGAACAGATATAGTTTTTTAGTGCCTAAATCTAACAAATAGGGTAGATTCAAATTATCAAGAGATTCACTGCAGGGTTTCTTTCAGCACACTTTAACATGTGTTTATATATCGCTAAAAATTTGGTGAAGGCAAGTGAGGTCCAGAGGTAGGGGAAAATATAGCAGAATTGTCTGAAACCACCATAATTAAAGATCTACCATAAAGTTGTCTCAATAAAATAAGAAAATAATTCTTTTATCCATTTTTGTGATTAAGTTATTACCAACAATGATTTTCTTTTCCTTTGATGGCTAAAGCTTCTCTCTTAAGTACCATAATTCTATATAATCATTTTGGATAATAATATTTTGAGCATATGTACTATCCATCACTTTCTTAAGGAGGATGTAATCAATGAGAGTTTAACCTTTGCTTGATGAGACATCATCATGAATATAAATCCTCGAGGGCCATATATAGGGCTACTTACTGCTACCAGAAAATGGTCCCCAAATCTGGTACTTGGTAATACTGTTTTGTTTCATTTCCTCAATATTAGTTGACAGTTTTTAAAGCAATAAGTGCTCACCTTTGCTAACACGAACTCCATCTAATTTACCTGTAACCTGCCATAAGCTTGGATTAATTCTAATAAGCTTGATTAAGTAAAAGACACTAATAAGTGCTATAGTCCTTTGACAGAGTAAAGTCATTTTTGATATCTTTATGCTATTTTGGGGGGAGGATAAAGATATAGTTATTTTTAAGTAAACAGTTGTATTTTTAAAAATTTGGTTGGGAGCAAGATCTCCAGATATGTAGGCTGTTTCTATACTCAATAAAAAACAATTCACAGCTTAAAATGATTTTACAGAAACATTTATGGTATAAACTAGTAGTTAGTAAGACTACCTGATATTTCACTGAAATCTGACATCTGTTAAAAATAAAATCTTAGCAGAAAAGAACTTACCATTGCTATCCATAGAACAACATATTCGTCTATAAAATTATTAAAGTACTGGTCTAAAAATAAAAGACCTGGGCCCAAAAAGGCAGTGTCTTGAAGATACAGTTCACTTTTAGTCATGTGAGCTATCTATAAAAAAGTAAACAAAATAATTTTACTATTAAATTTCAAACATTTTAGCTTTTACTTGCAGAACAGAATTGATTATAACTTTAATTCACTATTAAGACAAATAAGGATAAAGACACCATTTAATCTCACATTTGATATGGAAATACTGAATCTAAAATTTCTTAAATTCATAATTGATGACTGGGTAGTTTATTAAAGTTTCCAGTATTTAAATTTCTTGATATCAGAAAGTTATAATTGATAATTATAATTAAACAAATAAAAGAACTTGCTATACAGTAAAGAATCTGTTTCCCTAAATATAACATTAACTCATTCACAATTTTACTTGGAGGACAAATAGATACCTACATTTTATGATGATAATACTACACACACACACACACACACACACACACACACACACATAAAACACCCACTGTAAGAAATAGTTTCCAGTTCTGAGTTTGAGGACCAAGTAGGTTATTATACCATAAATCATAAAATAATTTCTTACCACCAATTTTTGTGCTACTTTAGCAAAGACACATCCAAACATTAGGGTATAAAGACAAGGATGCTTTTCAAACACATTAGTTGCTGACTTTTTATAGATCATTATTGCCGGTATAATAATTATTCCTATGTGAAGTCCAGGTGACAAGACACTGGTGCCCTAATGGATAAAGCAGAAAATCAACATCACATTTTAACACTATTGATTACATTTTCTGAGCATCTATTTTGTTTTAGGAACTTATGTAACACTGTAACATCCAACCCATTACATTTTTATCTTTGTGAATCAGGATTCTCTCAGCATTGCTTATCCTAAACAAAATACTAAAATAAATTTAGTCTTAAGACTTATTAAATCTATAACCACCAATTTAAATGTGTTCATTAAAAAGACTTATTCTTGTTTAAGTTTACATGTTATAACTTACTATAAAATTACAGTAACAATACTACAAAGCCATATATAATAAAACATTACACTATATAGTAATAACGTAAAAATTTAGACTAATAAAATAGTGCTTTTATCTGTATTATGGTTCGGGAGATTTTATTCAAGAAAATCTGCTGCTAAAAAAGTTGGAAAACCACCAGTTTAAGAGTTTGAAATCAACTACTTCCTAGCCCTAATATTTGATTTCTTGTCTTCCTTCAAGCAGTCCATCAATTATTTCTTAGTAAAACATTCTCTAAAGTGGACACTGACGCTTACTAAATCATATTTTCTTTAGTAGGACTCGTGTTCCAGCTAGTGCTCTATTTTGTCACCCATGGTCAAGCAACTAGTCTTCCTAAGCACCTCTGCACAGTACTGTACTGAGGTCAACAGACAAAACACCTCAAAAAAAATCAAAATAATGTTTCCAAATATATCAGAACTTATGTATCTAAATGAGTTTTATACTTAGCTTTTGAATTATGTATATAAAATATATTTTAAAAGATGGATAATTTATGAATTATGTGGATTCTTTTGAAATTGTCCTAAAGCCAATTCATGTCATTTAAGAGGATAAGACTTTTTTTTAACGAAAAATGCTGTATTTTATGTTTATTACTCCTCTTATTTATTAGACCAAGCTCCAAATGACTGACTTTTTTTTTTCTAAATCAAATCCACCTTTAAAGGACAGAAAAATTGAACTATAGCACCAAAGAAATTAACGAGAATGACTTATAGCTTAAAGTAATTCTAAAAAGACATTCCAAAAACGTTTTTTATAAAAGATGGCATCACTGGAATAAGTATTCATATCCTTATGTTCAAGAACCTTGAAGATTACAATATGTTTTTTAAGAAACAGATACTTTGTTATATTTATTTAAAATCTTGGCAGGAGTTCTGACTCATAAAGCACCAGGTCTGTCCACTCAGGTTAGGAATTGAGGTTAAAATATTTTACCTTTTAAAATAGAATAGTTTAAAAATATATATTTCAGTGAAATATACTTCTCTGGTAATAAGTACCCCATATGTGAAACAATGACTCCTGGCAGCTTTCCTGCCATTCAATCAGGAACTCAGTCTCTACCTTTTCTCCTCTCCTCTCCTTTCCTTATTAGTGTAAGGCACAAAATGCAAGACAACAAATAGCAACTCTTAATTATGTACAGTAATGAAACAGATGAGTAAATGAAATGCCAGGAATGTCTATTCAGAAAGTATACAAAGAGGAAAAGTGCTTTATTATCAATCTACACTGTTTTAAAAATGCTTTTGTATTATGTACCTAAAAAGAATCCTTTAAGATATTTCGTTCCCTTCCCCATTCTTGAACTTCAGCATATGTTTAGTATCTCTGTAGCTGGTGATAAGTAAGTTTAGCATAAAATTAATACTACATGATGATGAAATTAATGTCTTACTGCTATAGTGGATCCATTCTTGCCAACTCCACCATGGAGGATAACATGGAAATAATTTGAACAGGAAAAAATTGCTCCACCTACAACTCCAAGAACTGGGAAGATCTTCAATTTTACTTCTAGAATGGGTATCTTGAGGGGTAGAGGAAAGAAACATCATTAAGAAAATAGAATTTATTTTCCTATTAAATAGTAAAGAAACATTACAATATGATCCTATACAATAAGTTATCATTTTTCTTTTATTCAAACCATAACTTCTGGAAGGTAGCCTGAAGTGGTAACTTCTCTTTTAATGGTTTTATTCATTAAGTGAAAAATCCACCAAATTCAGCTAAGTCTACTTTCGTAATTGTCGTGAGACATTTAATCTCATAAACCTTCATCTGACTTCAATGAATGAAAAAGGATAGGTCACTTGGATTTAGTAAATCACAGGAAAGTCAGACACCATAATCTGCATCATGAATGTGACAATCATGATGTGTGTCCATGCAAAAATTCTGTGTAGTTAAGATCCAGGATTAAATCTCTAGCAGTATATTTACCTGTTGGTCAAATGCTGTTCAAGAAAACTTCCAAAGGCAGCAAAGGATTTAAAAAACAGTAACAATGAATTGCCAAAAGCTGTAGGCTGTCGTGTTCTGAAAACAGACTTTGAAATATTGTCCCAAAATTTGTGTAAACTATAGATTAACAATTAATTTAGAAAATTTACATCTAAAATAAATAGCCTTATTGGTGAGAATAAGCAGATGTGCTTTCTTCCTATAGTATTGCCAAAAGAGTGGATGAAATGATTTTAAGATGAAGTTACATTCTTCCCCATTAAAACTAAATCAGAATTCCAAATTTAAGACAACCACGTCTGACTCAATGACCAGAGATGCCTAACTGCCTCTAGGTCCACATTCACCTTCTTATGGGTACTAACAGAACAGCTACCACCTAAGACACATCACATTCCTCTACTATTCTAGAAGCTTATAGTAGCATATGTTTGATTCTATTATTTAAACTTACATGAGAAGAAATATGAATGTCTCAGGAAATGTACCACTACTTGAAAATATGCTCAAAGTCTATTTCTGATCCTAGCGATATGAACTATAATTAGCCAATTCTGAAACTATTGTCTCAGAGAAGTCTCCTATTACTATTTTTAATAGAATTACCTTTTAGAGCAATTTTAGGTTCACAGCAAAATTGTATGGAAAGTACAGTCTCCATAGGCCCCAGTGCCTCCAGCATTATATCATACAGAATAGTTTCACTGCCTTATAAAAATTCTATGCTTTGTCTACTTAACCCTCCTCCCCACAAACTCTGGCAATCACTAACCTTTTCACTATCTCCATTGTTTGCCTTTTCCCGAATGTCATATAGTTGGAGTTGTATAAATACATAGCCTTTTCAGATTGGCTTTTTCTACTAAGTAATATACAGTTAAAGTTTCTCCATGTCTTTTCATAGCTTGGTAGCTTTTTCTTTTTAATAGTAATTAATACTCCATTGTCTGGATGTACCATGGTTTATCCATTTACCTACTGAAGGACATCTTGGTTGCGTCCATGTATTGGAAATTATAAATAAAGCTGCTATAAACATCTATGTTCAGGTTTTTGTGTGGATAAGTTTTCAACTTATTTGGATAAATCCCAAGGGATCTTATGGTAGGAATATGTTTAGTTTTGTATCTCATACTATTTTCACTGGACGTATAATGTAGCTTAGTGACTAAAAACATAGAATTTGGAATCAGTCTACTTAATTTCTAGCTCCAGATCTCACTAGCTACCTGGTATGTGTTCTTGGACAAATTACTTAATCATTCTAAAACATTTATAAAACAGATTAATGATATCGATTTTATAGGATTGTTCTGAGGATCAGGTGAAACAATGATAGTAGAATGTTTAGGAACATAATAAGTGTTGAATAAACGTTAGTTGTTGGCTATTGATATTATCCTTCTTCTTAACTCTATGGGAATGAGGTTGTGAGTCAGCCAGTGTTGTGGACTTAGGTTGTAGAAACACAATAATTTGTTTCTTTCTAGTTTCTCCCTTTGCAAAGCGTGAATGTATGACAGTGGCTTCGTGTCAGTTTTGATCAAAATACTGAGGTTACCAACCAAGCAGAAAATGAAAATACTCCTTAATATGGGAAACTTCACCTCATTATAGAGTATAAAAATGCAAATTAGCAACATTTCTTTCCTAATATTGAGGGACAATTTTCAAATGTAAAATATTTTATTGAATTTATTCTTCTAAACATCTATTTTATGAGATAAATTTTGGCCTGGAAAAGGCAGTTCAACTAGTGTTTAAGTTTGTATTAAGGAAGTGGGTTTTTTTCCCTCTGTGCTAATATATTCTTGCATAAAGGAAAATGTCATAATAAGGTATGTAGGATAAAAAAAATTATAAAACAAAAGGAGAAAGTTAAGAAATGCAATGAATATTAAGTACAATGCCCAGGATTTCTGAAGAAAATTAACAATGCAATATTTTTCCTATTTAAAAAGTACTTAAAAGTAAATATAAACATTCAGTTTTACCGTATAGTCCCACATTGTTGCTCCTCCAAATGTAGACAACACAAAGATGACCATTAAACCTACTTGAATTTCATTTACATCCACTCTAAAGATGAAGGATAAAGAATAGAAAAGATATTTGTAAATAAAATTCCTGTATGTAAAGGTTAGTTAACCATATATTAAATATCAAAGGTGTAAAAATATCTATAGGCTTAGTTTATTTTTACCTTTAGTTCCATCACTGAATTATCAGCTGACTACACAGTTAAGTAAAAAACACACCTATAGAACAACATGTGCTCACATACAGGTAAATATTAGTATATGCATAAAGAGGACAACTCTATGGCATATATAAAATTGCTAATAGTGGTTACCACTGAGACTGCAGAAGACTTTTTACTTTCTATTTTATGTACGTCCGTAAAGTTTGATTTTTTTTATAACAATTACTCTCATAATCAGAAAAAATTATAAAATATAAAAACAACAGGTAATTTAAGACAAATTCTTAAACACTCTCAAGTCAATTTAACTTAAGAAAGCAGGGAAAATTCCAACAGTTTTCCTTATTAAGTTACTAAGAGTTCCCTTTGTTTCCCCCACCCAAATATTTTCCTCTTAATATATAATGTGCTTCAATATTTTGTATAAAAAAACAACCCCTAGACCTAGCTGGTTTGGCTCAGTGGGTAGAGCGACGGCCTGCAGACTGAAGGATCCATGGTTCAGTTCCGGTGGAGGGCACATGCCTGGGTTGTGGGCTTGGTCCCCAGTAAGGGGGTGTGCAGGAGGCAGCCAATTGATGGCTCTCTCTCATCATTGATGTTTCTGTCTCTCCCTCTCCCTTCCTCTCTGAAATCAATAAAAATAATTTTAAAAAAAACAACCCTAAAAACCAGCAATATCAGTCTCTAATCCAGTGATGGCGAACCTTTTGAACTCGGCGTGTCAGCATTTTGAAAAACCCTAACTTAACGTTGGTGCCATGTCACATATAGAAATTTTTTGATATTTGCAACCATAGTAAAACAAAGATTTATATTTTTGATATTTATTTTATATATTTAAATGCCATTTAACAAAGAAAAATCAACCAAAAAAATGAGTTCACGTGTCACCTCTGACACGCGTGTCATAGGCTCGCCATCACTGGTCTAAACTATATGACATTAAACTGATGGAAGCTGTTAGCAGAGCCCAGCAAGGACCCACGATTCAGAGTCAGAATGATGGACTTGACAATAAGCTAAGTGAGTGGGAGACACTGCCATTCACAGGATGTTCAGTGGTGAAAGGAACAAGAAATCAAGCCCACAGCATCTACTAAATGCAAAAAGATTTACACATTCTACTAAAACTTAAGGTAAACAGTGTCTTTCAATTTGCCAAAACTAAGGAATACATTTCAGTTATTATCTTGCATAACCTCTCTACAACAATGAAAATGCTGATCATTCCCTCTTTCTCGAAATGCTTTGCTATGGTTTTATTTATTCTATTCTCTTTCCTGATTCTCCTAACTTGCAGGAAGCTTTTCTCAGGCTCCTTCCCAGACTGCTTCTTTTTCCACATCTTAAATGCTATTACTTCCAGAATTCCATCTTTTCTCCTTTTAGAGTCTCTGAACAATTCTCTCTGTACTTAAGACTATCATCTATATGCTAATGACCTCTAAATCCCCATCTTCTTTTCTGAGCTCCAGATTTTTATATCTGTCAGCCTACTTTACATCTCCACTTGGATGCCCCAGAGTCTCTAGATGCTAAAGGAATACTTATTGCTCTGCAAATATAAAAAATATGAGGATTAGATTAAAAACAACAACAAAACAGAAATGGAAGAAAACACAACTAAGTTATTTGGGGACAGTTAGGAGAAAAGGTGAACTGAATATTAAGGAAAATATGAATAATGACATGCAGGTATTAGTAAGATCAGTGGCCTCCAGGCTTCATGGAGAAATAATCAAGTTAGTTGGAAAAGGAAAACATAATAATAAAATGTTCGGTACTTTGTGGAGAAAAAGGGGGAAAGAACTAACATTTACTGAGCATTGATCATGAGTCCTTTTTCTCTATTATTCAGGTCCCTCATTTTTCCTCTTTCTCCTGTCTAATATAAGTTTGGGCTAATAAGTTGGAGAAAAAGCGAAAATAAAGTTATTATCAAATATGTAACAATTTATAACCAGCAGAATACCTAAAAGATTTAAATTAAGATATAACATTTATGGATGTTCCAATAAGTTAAAAGATAATTAAAATTCCTGATTGAAGCTTTGTTCCCCTTATTACATATATATGAACTGTAACAGACAATGAAAATAAATTCAGTTATATTTTTAAATGTACAACTTAAAATACATACTTACTTTCCAAACCTCAACACACCCGAAACATAAGTCTGCCAATGAGCACAATAAAATAAGAACATCCCAATAAAACAGCAGAAAAACAACCAGTCATGATGAGTTCCTAAGCGCACAGCAATTGAAGCTCCAACTGCCATCAGTACTGAAAGAAACAAGGTTTAAGAACCATTAAGAATTGGAAATAATTAATGAAAAAAATCACCATCTACTATTCAGCAATACAGAGTTTTAAGGAACATAATCTTGGCATTAGAATAAGGTACACTAAACAAAATAAACACTTGAAGATACTTTTAAAATACACTGAAGAAATTGCTCCCATAGGTACACCTATCCAAAAAAAATAAACCATTCAAACAGCTCATTTCATGTTTAAGTCATTATTAAAAAAACAAACACAACTTTAGTTAATTTACCCGTGGAAAGAGAGTCACAACCATGGTCAAAAAGTTCTCCTAAAGGAGAACAAGAATTTGTTCTTCTGGCTTGTTTCCCGTCAATAGCATCCAGTGACTGGTAGATAAAGAGCCCGAGTGCACATAATAGGTATGTCCAGTATGGTGCCTAAAAATAAATGTAAATAATAAAGACTATTATAATAAACTAGAGGCCCAGTGCATGAATTTGTGCACAGATGGGGTCCGGCCGGCCCGGCCCCAATCGGGGTGGATCAGGGCTGGGTCTGTCGAGAGGAGGAGACAGCGGGAGGTTGGCCAGCCAGCCCGCCCCGATTGGGGCTGATCAGGGCCAGGCCGGCTGGGGGAAGGGGCCGTGGGCAATTGGCTTGTGGGTCCCGCCCCCAATTGGGGTAGGGGGACAATTGGGGGTGAGACCGGCCATGGGGAGGGGCTGTGGGTGGTGGGCCAGCCAGCCCCACTTTTGATTGGTGTGGGGGGGATGATCGGGGGTGGAGCTGGCTGTGGGGAGAGGCCGCAGGCTGATTGAGGTGGGGGACCAATAGGGGCCCAGTGACCTGGGGGAGGTGGTTGGCTGGCCGGTCCTGCCCCTGATCAGAGTGAAATGCTGATGGGGGCTGGAGCTAGATGGGGGGAGGGGCCGCGGGCTGAT